GTCGCCGTCGCCATCGCCATCGTCGTCGTCGTAGTCGTAGTCGTCGCCGTCGCCGTCGCCGTCGCCGTCGCCGTCGCCGTCGCCGTCGCCGTCGCCGTCGCCGTCGCCGTCGCCGTCGCCGTCGCCGTCGCCGTCGCATCGCGCGTCGTCGTCGTCGTCGTCGTCGTCGTCGTCGTCGTCGTCGTCGTCGTCGTCGTCGTCGTCGTCCGTCGTCGTCGTCGTCGTCGTCGTCGTCGTGTCGTCGCGTCGTCGTCGTCGTCGTCGTCGTCGTCGTCGTCGTCGTCGTCGTCGTCGTCGTCGTCGTCGTCGTCGTCGTCGTCGTCGTCGTCGTCGTCGTCGTCGTCGTCGTCGTCGTCGTCGTCGTCGTTCGTCGTCGTCGTAGTCGTCGTGTCGTCGTCGTCGTCGTCGTCGTCGTCGTCGTCGTCGTCGTCGTCGTCGTCGTCGTCGTCGTCGTCGTCGTCGTCGTCGTCGTCGTCGTCGTCGTCGTCGTCGTCGTCGTCGTCGTCGTCGTCGTCGTCGTCGTCGTCGTCGTCGTCGTCGTCGTCGTCGTCGTCGTCGTCGTCGTCGTCGTCGTCGTCGTCGTCGTCGTCGTCGTCGTCGTCGTCGTCGTCGTCGTCGTCGTCGTCGTCGTCGTCGTCGTCGTCGTCGTCGTCGTCGTCGTCGTCGTCGTCGTCGTCGTCGTCGTCGTCGTCGTCGTCGTCGTCGTCGTCGTCGTCGTCGTCGTCGTCGTCGTCGTCGTCGTCGTCGTCGTCGTCGTCGTCGTCGTCGTCGTCGTCGTCGTCGTCGTCTCTGGGACCATACCATCTGGGGGGGGGCCCGAGGAATCCTGGGACCATACCATCTGGGGGGGGTGGGGGGCCCGTGGGCCCGGAGCCCGGGACCATATACACCCCTGGATAGCCTGGACTCGTTACAACACGTGGTCCTTGCTCAGAACAATCATTTTAGATACCCCCCTGGGTGGCCTGGATACGTAAAAACACATGGTTCAAGCTCGGGACAACCATGTTAGATATCCCCCTGGGTGGCCTGGACACGAAAAAAACATATGGCTCCAGCTCATGACCACCATGTTAGATACCCCCTGGGTGGCCTGCACACGTAAAAACACGTGGTCCAGCCCACCCAGGGGGGGGATATCTAACATGCGGTCGTCTGGAGCGCAGGAGGGCCCAGGAACGCCCAGAGGCGCCTGGAGGCAAAAAATAAACTAATCGATACCAAATACAAATAAACTCTCGACGTTCCGTTCCGAGTCCCAGCAAGGATCCAGGAGGCCCATGTTAGATACCCCCTAAGTGGCCTGGACACGTGAAAACACGTGGTTCCAGCTCGGGACCACCATGTTAGATACCCCCCTGGGTGGCGTGGACACGTGAAAACACGCGGTTCCAGCTCGGGACCACCATGTTAGATACTCACCTGGGTGGCCTGCACACGTGAAAACACATGGTTCCAGCTCGGGACCACAATGTTAGATACCTCATGGGTGGCTTGGACACGTAAAAGCACGCGGTTCCAGCTCAGGACCACCATGTTAGATACCCCCCTTGGTGGCGTGGACACGTGAAAACACGCGGTTCCAGCGCGGGGCCACCATGTTAGGTACACCCTCTGGGCGACCTGGGCACGTGAAAACACGCGGTTCCAGCGCGGGACCACCATCTTAGACATCCCCTGGGTGGCCTCGACAGGTGAAACACGTGGTTCCAGCTCGGGACCAACATGTTAGATACCCACCTGGATGGCCTGTACACATGAAAACACGTGGCTCCAACGCGGGACCACCATGTTAGATACCCACCTGTGTGGCCAGGACACGGGAAAACGTGGTACCAGCTCGGCACCGCCATGTTAGATACCCACCTGCGTGCCCTGGACACGTGAAGCGACGTGGTTCAGCTCGGGCAGAACATGCTAGATACCCCCTGTGTGGCCAACGAAATCCTGGAAAAACAGGCGAATTAGTCGAGACATCCTCGAAATTCCTGCGCGCGGGACGCGGCACGCGCGAGACATCCTCGGAATTCCTGCGAGCGGGACGTGAAAACAAGCATTTCGCCTGAGACATCCTCTGAATTCTGGCCCCCCACGAGGCCACCGCTCAAGATATCCCATGACTCTGCAAAACCAGAGTTTCGCTCGAGACATCATCAACAAATTCTGAAAAACAAGCGTTTCGCCTGAGACTTTCTCAAAAATAAGTCTGCCGGCCTCCTTCAAGCTCGTCATTTATCGCAAAATAATTCCGCCGGCCTCCTTCAAATCGAAACCGGGGGTAACATGATCGACCCACGAACTCGGAAAGGAATATAGAAATGTAACGCATGGCAACGTTTTCAAAGACACCTGATTGGGTGACGGGCAAGTGCAATGCTGATTGTATCGATCTTGATGTACCGTGCCGAGGGCTGTGCTGTGCTACACCGTGCTGAATTGCGATGTGCCATGCCGCGGTTGTGCTCTATAGCGTCGTGGATCGAGTCTTCCTTTGCATCCGAGTCCTGACCGAACTGATCTGGATCTTAAGCTCGAGCTGCCTGAACAAATATTAGCTGCCCCAGAGCTAATTGACAAGGGGGCATGCCAGGAGGACGCGCCGCGAAACGTCCCAAGGGACGCGCCAGGCGGCGTGCCAGGGGACGTGCCATGGGGTCGCACCGCCGGACGTGCCAAGGGGACGCGCTACGGAACGTGCCAATGGATGTGCCACGGAATGTGTGCCAGGGGACGCGCCACGCGACGTGCCAGGGGGACTCGCCAAGGGACGCCCCACGGAACGTGCCAAGTTGCAATGCTGAGTGTATCGATCTTGATGTACCGTGCCGAAATCTGTGCTGTGCTGCGCCGTGCCGAATTGCGATGTGCCATGCCGCGATTGTGCTCTATAGCCTCGTGGATCGAGTCCTCCTTTGCATCCGAGTCCTGACCGAACTGATCTGGATCTTAAGCTCGAGCTGCCTGAACACATAGTAGCTGCCCCAGAGCTAATGGACAAGGGGACATACCAGGAGGACGCGACGCGGAACGTCTCAAGGGACCCGCCAAGCGACGTGCCAAGGGACGTGCCATGGGGACGCACCGCGGGACGTGCCAAGGGGACGCGCTACGGAACGTGCTGGGGACAAGCGTTTCGCTCGAGACATCCTGCCAACATCCTCAGAATTCCTGCGCGCGGGACGCGGCACGCGCGAGACATCCTCAAAATTCCTGCGAGCGGGACGTGAAAACAAGCATTTCGCCTGAGGCATCCTCTGAATTCTGGACCCCCCACGAGGACCCCCACGAGGCCCCCGCTCGAGACATCCCCCAATTTTGCAAAACCAGCGTTTCGCTCGAAACGTCTTCAACAAATGATGAAAGACAAGCATTTCGCTCGAGACATCCTGCCAAAATTCAAGGAAATCCTGGCAAAACGAACGAATTAGTCGAGACATCCTCGAAATTCCTGCGCGCGGGACGCGGCACGCGCGAAACATCATCGGAATTCCTGCGCGCGGGGTGCTTTTCCGCGTCGCGGTCGGCTCTGCAAAACCAGCGTTTCGCTCGAGACATCCTCAACAAATTCTGAAAACAAGCGTTTTGCTCGAGACATCCCCAACTCTGCAAAACCAGCGTTTCGCTCGAGACATCCTTAATAAATTCTGAAAAACAAGCGTTTCGCTAGGGACATCCTCAATTACACTACACCCGCGCTCCCAGGGCCACGATCCCTCGTAAATTACGCACGTCAGCGCTCCCAGGGCCACGATCCCTCGTAAGGGCTCCTGGGCCCTCCTGGGTCTTCCTTGGACCTCTTGGGCCCTCCTGGGCTCTCCTGGAGCCTCCTGGAGCTTCTCCTGGGCCCTCCTTGGGCCCCCTGGTGCCTCTTGGACTCTCCTCGGCTCTCCTGGAGCCTCCTGGGCCCTCCTGAGCGAAGTCAAGGTCCGAAAACATATGGGACTTGCCACATTTCTGAAATTCCGCGCCACCCCTCACGCAGGTCGGCGGGGTCAGGATCCGAAAACACAGGGGATTTGCCACATTTCTGGAATTCCGTACCACCCCTCACGCAGATCGGCGGGGTCAGGGTCCAAAAACACAGGGGATTTGCAACATTTCTGGAATTCCGCGCCACCCCTCACGCAGATCGGCGGGGTCAGGGTCTAAAAACACAGGGGATTTGACACATTTCTGGTATTCCGTGCCACACCTCACGCAGATCGGCGGGGTCAGGGTCAAAAAACACAGGGGATTTCTGCGATTTCCGAACTTATGCAACTTCAAGAATCCAAAACTCCGTTCCCAGCGCCGTTCCGGAGGCCGCGGTACCTCGTTATTTATCGAGCGAACGCGTTTACTTAGTTTTTTATCGTTTAAAGTCGATGTCGGAAAAAATTAGACTTCACCTGTGAAATATCGAGGTTTCCTTAAAGGGAGTAAAATTCCAAGAGCACGATCTGCGTGAGGGGTGGCGAAAAGTGGCCTTCGTCCTCACAATTGAAATCCGCCGGCCCCAAAATACTCAAAGAGAACCCTGGGCCTCTGCCTTTTCCGGGGAAAACAGGACTTGCGCGAGATGGCACAGCGATCCTCCTTCCTCCATCCTCCATCCTCCTCCTCTGCCCTGCCCTGCCCCTCCTTCCTTCTCCTTCCTCCTCCTCCTCCTTCCTCCCTTCTCCAGATGGCCTCTGCCCTTTCTGGAGGATGGCACTTGCGCAGCGGCTTACGCGGGCCGCCATCGCGGCACGCCACACTGGAGAGGCGATGGGCGCTCACGCGGGACCTTAAGCGCGGGCAGCTTCTCACGCGCCCACGCCGGGGAAGACAACCCCCTTTCTCTGTTGCGTCGCTCCACGTGGTCGCAGCGAGCACCTCCTCCTCCTCCTCCTCCTCCTCCTCCTCCTTCGTCAATCCTCCTCCTCGTCGTCCTCCCGCTCCTCCTCCTCCTCCTGCTCCTTCTCCTCCTCCTCCTCCTCCTCATCCTCCTCCTCCTCCTCCTCCTCCTCCTCCTCCTCCTCCTCCTCAGGGGGCGCGCCCCCTGCCCGCGCCCTCTCGGGGGCCAACGTTTAGCCGAGGAAGGAGGCGGCACGGCGTCAGGCTTGGCGGCGCGCACGGGGGGGTTAGGGGGAGGGGGGAAGGCTTCTCAGAGGGAGGCTGCTTCTTAGAAGCAGCGGGCCTCCCGTTTGCAGACGAGGCCCGCGCCTCGGAAGAAGCAGGGTGTGCCTCTGAGAAGCCCTCCCCCCTCCCCCTGACCCCCCTCCTGCGCGCCGCCAGCAGGCCTCGAGGCTCAGCTCTCCGCCGGCGCGCTGCGGCGCCTCAGACACAGGGGCGCGCTCGCCCAGTCGGGCGGGCGACGCAGGCCCGGCGCAGGCAGGGGCACACAGACGTGCGCTTCGGACCCCGAGATCGGGGGAGCGCAAACATGGGCGATCCACGGATTCGGCGCGCGGTCACCAAATCCATGGATCACCAAATCCATGGATCGATCGGGGGAGGTGCCCTCCCCAAAATGCGGCCGTTCGGCGGCGGAAATCCGCGATTTCCCGTGGAAACGGGACCCGTCGCTGATCCACGTCCCCTTGATCCATGTTTGCGATCACCTGACGAGAGCCGCGGTACGGAAGGTTCGTGTCGTGTCGACTGACACCGCGGGGATCGTTCACATCGTTCACCCTTGAACGATCGGCAGCTTTTCGAGCGCTCGATCGTTCCATATCGGCCGACTCTGGGCCACTGGCGGCGTTCAACCTTGAACGCCTGCGGCGGGGTCGCCGCCGGTCGACACGACGCGAACCTACCGTACTGTTTTCCCCCGCGGGGTCTCCCTAGTCCCGACCCTGTCCCGAGGTCCGGCGTCTCATCCTGAGTCGTCTGCTGACGGTCATGGGGCCCAGTGAGGGCCTCCAGAGGCCGAGCACGCCGAGGAGGCCGCACTGCTGCTGCTGCACGTCGGGGGCCTCGGGACGTCCTTCGACGGCGTCTTCGCCAACGCCGGACCCCCCCCCCCGCAGCTCCGGGCGGCGCCAGAGGGGCACCGGCACTCCCTGGCACACGGGGGTCGGCGGGGCGGGAGTCTGGCGACGGCGGAGAAACCGTGCAAGGACGTTCGAAGGTGATGCTTTTTGTTGAGGGTATGCGGTGCTCTGCCCACTAGACATCCAACGTCTTGAACAAAAACCGAGGCCACACTTGCTCGCTGTTTTGACCTCCGGGAACCATCGCCTGGCCCCCAGACCCCCAGACCGACAAAACATGATCGACCCACGAACCCGGAAAGGAATATCGAGATGTCAGGCATGGCAACGTTTCAAAGATACCTGATTGGGCGACGGGCAAACGCAATGCTGAGTGTATCGATCTTGATGTACCGTGCCGAGAGCTGTGCTGTGCTGCGCCGTGCTGAACTGCGATGTGCCATGCCGCGATTGTGCTCTATAGCGTTGTGGATCGAGCCCTCCTTTGCATCCGAGTCCTGACCGATCTGATCTGGATCTCAAGCTCGAGCTGCCTCAGCACACAGTAGTGCCCCAGAGCTAATTGACAGGGGGACATGCCAGGAGGACGCGCCGCGGAACGTCCCAAGGGACGCGCCAGGCCACGTGCCAGGGGACGTGCCATGGGGACGCACCGCGGGACGTGCCAATGGACGCGCCGCGCGACGTGCCAGGGGGACTCGCCACGGGACGTGCCACGGAACGTGCCAAGGAACGTGCTATGTTGCAATTCTGAATGTATCGATCTTGATGTACCGTGCCGAGAGCTGTGCTGCGCCGTGCTGAACTGCGATGTGCCATGCCGCGATTGTGCTCTATAGCGTTGTGGATCGAGCCCTCCTTTGCATCCGAGTCCTGACCGATCTGATCTGGATCTCAAGCTCGAGCTGCCTCAGCACACAGTAGTGCCCCAGAGCTAATTGACAGGGGGACATGCCAGGAGGACGCGCCGCGGAACGTCCCAAGGGACGCGCCAGGCCACGTGCCAGGGGACGTGCCATGGGGACGCACCGCGGGACGTGCCAATGGACGCGCCGCGCGACGTGCCAGGGGGACTCGCCACGGGACGTGCCACGGAACGTGCCAAGGAACGTGCTATGTTGCAATTCTGAATGTATCGATCTTGATGTACCGTGCCGAGAGCTGTGCTGCGCCGTGCTGAACTGCGATGTGCCATGCCGCGATTGTGCTCTATAGCGTTGTGGAGCGAGTCCTCCTTTGCATCCGAGTCCTGACCGAACTGATCTGGATCTTAAGCTCGAGCTGCCTCAGCACATAGTAAAAGCACGTGGTTCCAGTTCGGAACAATCATGTTAGATACCCTCCTGGGTGGCCTGGACAGGTATAAACAAGTGGTGCCAGCTCGGGGCAACTATGTTAGATACCTCCCTGGGTGGCCTGGACATGTAAAAAAACGCGGTTCCAGCTCTGGACGACCATGTTAGATATCCCCCTGGGTGGCCTGAACGTGCAAAACACGTGATTCCAGCTCGGGACCACGATGTTAGACATCCGCCTGGGCGAACTGGACACGTGAAAACAAATGGTTCTCTCGAGACATCCTCAAGACATCTTCATGTTAGACGTCCGTTCCAGGCCCCCAGGACTAGGTGGCCTGGACACGTTAAAGCACCTGGTTCCGCCATGCTAAATACCCCCCTGGGCGACCTGGACATGTAAAACACGCGGTTCCAATTCGGGACAATCATGTTAGATACCCCCCTGGGTGGCCTGGACACGTCGAAACACGTGTTTCAAGCTCGGGACAACCATGTTAAATACCCCCTCTGGGTGGCCTGGACACGTAAAAACACGTGATGCCAGCGCGGGACCACCATGTTAGATACTCCCCGGGTGGCCTGGACAAGTGAAAGCACGAGGTACAAGTTCGGGACAACAGTGTCAGATACACACCTGGGTGGCCTGGACACGAAAAAACATGTGGTTCCAGCTCGAGACAACCATGTTGGATACCTCCCTTGGGCGGCCTGGACATGTTGAAACACGTGGATCCAACTCTGGGCAACTGGGTGGCCTAGACACGTTAGAAAACGTTGTCCTTGCTCGGGGCAACCATGTTAGATACCCCCCTTGGGTGGCCTGGACATGCAAAAACGTGGGTGCCAGCTCGGGACAACCATGTTAGATGCACCCCTGAGCGGTCTGGACACATTAAAACCCGTGGTCGTTGCTCGGGACCACCATGTTGGATACCCCCCTGGGTGGCCTGGACACGTAAAAACACGTGGTGCCAGCTCGGGACAACTATGTTAGATACCCCCTTGGGTGGCCTGGACATGTAAAAACACGTGGTTCCAGCTCTGGACGACCATGTTAGATATCCCACTGGGTGGCCTGGACACGTGAAAATACTTGGTTCCAGCTCGGGACAACCATGGTAGATACACCCTGCGTGGCCTGGATACGCTGAATTCGCGCTCCCGCTCGAGACATCCTCGCAATGTCTTCCCTGGAGAGGCCCCTAAAGCGCCACCCCCTGTACAGAGCAAGAAAACATTAATTACGTGTCTGTATTAGGATATGTGTTCAGTTAGCGCTTTTCGGCCCCCGTGCGTTTCCTGATGATTCGGCGTCGGGCCCGACGCCTTGTTGGATATCCCCCTTGGGCGGCCTGGACAAGTAAAAACACATGGTTCCAGTTCGGGACAATCATGTTAGATACCCCCCTGGGTGGCCTGGACACGTAAAAACGCACGGCTCCAGCACAGGACCACCATCTTAGACACCCCCTGGGTGGCCTGGACACTTGAAAACAGACGGTTCCAGCGCAGGACCACCATGTTAAATACCCCCCTGGGTGGCCTGAACATGTAAAAACACGTGATGTCAGCTCGGGACCACCATGTTAGATGCCCGATGGGTGGGCTGGACACGTGAAAACACGTGATTCCAGCTCGGGACTACCATGTTAGATACCCTAGCTGGGGACCACCATGTCAGATACCTCCTGGGTGGCCTGTTTTACACATTGGTCGTGTCCTCAGACCTCATTCTCATGGATTCCGCACAAAGCGCGCCGCACCCTATTTTTTACGAAGGGAAACGGTGGTCTGCGGACCCCGTCATTTCTCGCGGATCCGAGATGGGCGACAAACTTTCCTCGAGCGGGCTCGCGAAAAAGGCACTTGTTCAACTGAAAAATCACACTTTACTTCGTAATTTATAGCCAGATAATTTCGCCAGCCCTCTTCCCGTCGGGTCCGGGGGGAACAGCCAACATGATCGACCCACGAACCAGGAAAAAAAATAGAAATGTAAGGCATGGCAACGCTTCAATGACACCTGATTGGGCGACGGACAAATTCAATGCTGAATGGATCGAGCTTGATGTACCGTGCCGAATGCTGTGCTGTGCTGCGCTGTGCTGAACTGCGATGTGCCATGCCGCGATTGTGCTCTATAGCGTTGTGGATCGAGTCCTCCTTTGCGTCCGAGTCCTGACCGAACTCATCTGGATCTTAAGCTCGAGCTGCCTCAGCACATAGTAGCTGCCCAAGAGCTGATTGACAGGGGAACATGCCAGGAGGACGCGCCGCGGAAAAGTCCCAAGGGACGCGCCAGGCGACGTGCCAGGGGACATGCCATGGGGACGCACCGCGGGACGTGCCAAGAGGACGCGCTACGGAACATGCCAATGGAAGTGCCACGGGACGTGCCAGGGGACGCGCCGCGCAACGTGACAGGGGGACTCGCCACGGGACGTGCCATGGAACGTGCCAGGGAACGTGCCAAGTTGCAATGCTGAGTGTATCGAGCTTGATGTACCGTGCCGAGGGCTGTGCTGTGCTGCGCCGTGCTGAACTGCGATGTGCCATGCCGCGGTTGTGCTCGATAGTGTTGTAGATCGAGTCCTCCTTTGCATCCGAGTCCTGACCCGACTGATCTGGATCTTAAGCTCGAGCTGCCTCAGTACATAGTAGCTGCCCCAGAGCTAATTGACAGGGGAACATGCCAGGAGGACACGCCACGGAACGTCCCAAGGGACGCGCCAAACGACGTGCCAGGGGACGTGCCACGGGGACGCACCGCGGGACGTGCCGAAGGGACGTGCTACGGAACGTGCCAATGGACGTGCCACGGGACGTGCCAAGGGACGCGCCGCGCGACGTGCCAGGGGGACTCACCACGGGACGTGCCAGGAAACATGTCAGGTTGCATTGCTGAGTGTATCGATCTTGATGTACCGTGCCGAGGGCTGTGCTGTGCTGCGCCGTGCTGAACTGCGATGTGCCATGCCGCGGTTGTGCTCGATAGTGTTGTGGATCGAGTCCTCCTTTGCATCCGAGTCCTGACCGGATTGATATTGATCGTAAGCTCGAGCTGCCTCAGCACATAGTAGCTGCCCCAGAGCTAATTGACAGGGGAACATGCCAGGAGGACACGCCACGGAACGTCCCAAGGGACGCGCCAAACGACGTGCCAGGGGACGTGCCACGGGGACGCACCGCGGGACGTGCCGAAGGGACGTGCTACGGAACGTGCCAATGGACGTGCCACGGGACGTGCCAAGGGACGCGCCGCGCGACGTGCCAGGGGGACTCACCACGGGACGTGCCAGGAAACATGCCAGGTTGCAATGCTGAGTGTATCGATCTTGATGTACCGTGCCGAGGGCTGTGCTGTGCTGCGCCGTGCTGAACTGCGATGTGCCATGCCGCGGTTGTGCTCGATAGTGTTGTGGATCGAGTCCTCCTTTGCATCCGAGTCCTGACCGGATTGATATTGATCGTAAGCTCGAGCTGCCTCAGCACATAGTAGCTGCCCCAGAGCTGATTGACACGGAAAAATGCCAGGAGGACGCGCCGCGGAACCGCCCAAGGGACGCGCCAGGCGACGTGCCAGGGGACATGCCATGGGGACGCACCGCGGGGCGTGCCGAAGGGACGTGCTACGGAACGTGCCAATGGACGTGCCACGGGACGTGCCAGGGGACGCGCCGCGCAACGTGCCAGAGGGACTCGCCACGGGACGCGGCACGGAACGTGCCAGGGAACGTGCCAGGTTGCAATGCTGAGTGTATCGATGGTGATGTACCGTGCCGAGTGCTGTGCTGTGCTGCGCCGTGCTGAACTGCGATGTGCCATGCCGCGATTGTGCTCTATAGTGTTGTGGATCGAGTCCTCCTTTGCATCCGAGTCCTGACCGGATTGATATTGATCTTAAGCTCGAGCTGCCTCAGCACCCAGAGCTGATTGACAGGGGAACATGCCAGGAGGACGCGCCGCGGAACGTCCCAAGGGACGCGCCAAACGACGTGCCAGGGGACGTGCCATGGGGACGCACCGCGGGACGTGCCAAGGGGACGCGCTACAGAACGTGCCAATGAACGTGCCACCTCATGCTAGACATCCGCCTGGGCGAACTGGACACGTGAAAACAAGTGGTTCGCTCGAGACATCCTCAACACACCTGCATGTCAGACGTCCGTTCCAGGCCCCCGAGAAGGCCCCAGAAGGCCCATGTTAGATACCCCCTAGGTGGCCTGGACACGTGAAAGCACCTGGTTCCGCCATGATCAAATACCCCCCTGGGCGGCCTGGACACGTAAAAACACGCGGTTCTCATTCGGGGCAATCATGTTAGATACCTCCCTGGGTGGCCTGGACACGTAAAAACACGTGGGACCAGCTCTGGGCAACCATGTTAGATACACCCCTGGGTGGCCTGGACACGTGAAAACACGTGGTCATTGCTCGGGACAACCATGTTAGATATCCCCCTGGGTGGCCTAGGTGGTGCCAGCTCGGGACAATAACGTTAGATACCACCCTGGGTGGCCTGGACACGTAAAACACACATGGTTCAAGCTCGGGAGAACCATGTTAGATATCCCACTGGGTGGCCTGGACACGTAAACACACGTGATGCCAGCTCGGGACAATCATGTTAGATACCACCCTGGGTGGCCTGGGCACGTAAAAACACATGGTTTGAGCTCGGGGGAACCATGTTAGGTATCCCCCCTGGGTGGCCTGGATGTTTCCAGCTCGGGAAAAGTTTCACACCTGCGTGGCCTGGATACGCTGATGTTAGATACGCCCCTGCGTGGCCTGGATACGCTGAATTCGCGCCCCCGCTCGAGACATCCTCGCAATGTCTTCCCTGGAGAAACCCCCAACGCGCCACCCCCTGTGAGAGCAAGAAAACATCACTTTTCTGTATTGGGATATGTGTTCGGGTAGCCTGGACACGTAAAAATCGGCGTTGGGTCCGACGCCATGTTAGATACCCCCTGGGCGGCCTGGACACATAAAAACATGTGGGTCCAGGTCGGGACATTCATGTTAGATACCCCACTGGGAGGCCTGGACACGTAAAAACACGTGGATCCAGCTCTGCGCAACCATGTTAGATACACCCCTGGGTGGCCTCGGCACGTTAAAACACAAGTCCTTGCTCGGGACAACCATGTTAGATACCCCCCTGGGTGGCCTGGACATGTAAAATGACGCAGCCCCCGCACTCCCAAGGCCACGATCCCTAGTAAATTGCGCTGGATCCGCGCTCCCAGGGCCATGGTCCCTCGTAAATTACGCGGCGTCCGCGCTCCCAAAGCCGCGATCCCTTGTAAATTACGCTGGATCTGCACTCCCAGAACCCCCTGGGTATCCTGGAGCGCCCAGGCCCGTCAAATTTTGCAAAACGAGCGTTTCGCTCGAGACATCCCCAGAATTTCTGCGCGTAGGACGCGCCATCTTCGAGCGGGCACGCAAAAAGTCAACATTGACATATTTGTTGTATCCTGGTCGGGGCTCCGAAATCTTGTTTTTATACAGATTCCCCACACAAAGCGCAGAAAACGGTGGTCTGCGGACCCCGTTATTTATCGAGGGTCCAACATGGGGGGGCAAACTTTCCTCGAGCGGGCACGCGAAAAACGCACTTGTTCAACTGAAATGTCACACTTTACCTCGTGATTGATCGCAGAAAAATGTTGGGGGAACCTCTAAAAGAGAACCCTGGGCCTATGCCCTGTCCGGGAAAAGAGACACCTGGGCCCAAGCCCTTTCCGGGAAAATTGCCCAGGACGAAAAGCTGGCCTTGGGACGAAACGGCAAGGACTTCTGGGGAGCCCCACTTGGAAAACGGTACATGGGATGTCTGGGCACGGTGGGATCATGAGAAGGAGACCGCTCACATGCTCCGCTCCACGCCAGTAGCTCCCCGGCCTGCGTGGGCATAGCGGCGCTGGTCTCGCCCCGGCAGGCGCCCGGGGAGTCTACTTCGGCCACGACTTGCCGGTGAAAATGCCGAGCACGCCGTCGTTCACTGCCACGTTGGCCAGCACGGGTGCCAGAATGCTTCCGCCGCTGGCAGCGTAAACCGCCGCAGCAGTCAGGACGCGGACGAAGTTGGTGACCTCGCGTCTCCGCCTGCACTCTTGCCGCCGACCCTCCCACTGATCGGCAAGCGTCTCGAACACCTCTGCTCGCAGGTCGGCAGCCTCGCGAGAGACACCCATGAGGGCGAAGAGCCGCGCGCAGCGACGACGCTCAGTGGCTATGGCCTCCTGGCAGGCCTGTGCCTCGAAATTGGCCGAGGGCATCAGACTCTCGCACACAATCAAATCCGCCGATCCCCCGCACCTGTGGGGATGATTGGCTCACTCCTCCGTGTTGCCCTCCCCCGAGGGCCCACGACTCCAAAACCACACGCAGCCGCGGACAGAACGCGGACGGAGCCCCCGATCCCGCCTCCCTGCGGCCCTTCCCGAGGCCGCCGCGTAAAGAACGCGGACGGAGCCCCCGATCCCGCCTCCCTGCGGCCCTTCCCGAGCCGATCCACGGGGGCACCAGGGGCCGAGACCGCGACGAAGACGCCCGTCGTAGCTTCTACGCCAAAACTGTTTGTGTTCCAGGAGAGGGCCCGATGATGAAGATTGCCAGATCCCCAACTGACGGGAAGGGGACTCCTCCACCACGCCAGAAGAGGCCGAAGAAGAAGAGGGGAGGGAGGGTCTTCGTCCTGACACCGCCAAAGACGGCCCAAGGGGGTCCCAAGATCGTCCCAAGGCGGCGAATAAGGCCCCCAAAAGAGCGCCATGACGGCCTGCGAGGGCCCGAAGACGGCCGCAGGGGCGCCCCGACGCCCCCGAGGTGCCCACAAGAGGCCTCAAGAGGCCCCCAAGGGTTGCCCAAGAAGCCCCCAGGAAGCCCCCCAACAAGGCCCCACCAAGATGCCCCCAAGAGCCCTCCAAGAGGCACCTGAGAGGCATCCCACGAGCCCCTCAAATGCATCCAAGAAGCTCCTGACCCAACAAACTTTCCAAGATCGTCGCAATCACTCGCTCCTTCTGGGGGGTCGGCGGAATGCCGCAAGCCACTTGAATCTCAAGGAAGAAAGAGGAGGAAGGTCCCCGGGAGGTCTCCAAGATGTCTCGGGAGGCCCGCAGAGGCCAAGATACTGTCAAACTCGCTCAAAAAGTCGGCTGCCGATCCTCGAAGAGAAAGGAAGAGGAGGAGGGAAAAGAAAGAATCGGGTGTTGCTAGAGGTGCGCCTGGCCCAAGGTGGCCCCGGCCTATCCAGGGACAGCAAGATGACCTCCAGAGCACTCCTCCCGAGGCATGGGAGGGCCCCAGGGGCTCCAAAATGGCGCGAAAAGCTGGAGACGCCTTGAGCCAGGGACACCCCTGCAGGATGCTTGCTCTGGGAACCTTCCTGAAACCACTCGCTCCTCTCATGCGTCGATGCTGCGTCGAACGTCCGTCAACTTGATCCGAACTGAGTCGACATTGGATCGACATTGGATCGAACCTGAGTAGACCTAGAACCGAACTAGATTACAACTAGGGTCGAGCAGATCCGTCAAGTGAGCCCCAGGAAGGTCTCCGAAACGCACACCTGTATAACCCTTGACAGTCTCCGGAGGGAGGGGTCTGGCGGAATGCCGGGCGCCTCCGGGATAGACCGCGAACTCGAACGCGGCGGTCGCGAGCGCAGCCGCCAGAGGGGCCAGGGCCGGGCCGGACGCGACCAGCGGCCACCACCACTCGGCGGCCGGGTCCACGGGCACGCTCGAGATTGCGACGGGTGGCGGCGCGCACAGACGCAGGACGAAGCCAGGACTCGGCGGTGGACAGACCTGCCTTTAGCAAACCACCCTTTAGCGAAAACGGCCTCGGACCGAAACCGACGGACCTGGACCCGCAAAAACGACGGCCGCGACGCCCTCTCGCGAACCGAAAGCGGCCAATTCGCTAATCGACGTGTCGGGGTAGCAGGTCTATCAACCTCCGAAAGATCGGGACAAAATCGGATCCGGATAGATGGGGGTTATCTGAGATCCGGCGGCTCTGGAGGACGGTTCGGACGCCGCGGTCGTTCCAGAGCGTCCGGGGACGCTCTCGGAGCGTTCCTGCACGCTCTGAGGCGACGTATGCCGGTCCGGAGCCTGCCGGAAGAATAGCGGGCTCCTCCTCCAGGGGAGCAAGCAAGGACACAAACATGAAAACTCGGAGGCCTGCGCGGATTTCTCGGATCGGCGCTGGACCCGCCTCCCTGGCACGCGAAGCAAGTAAATGACGAACGAACAACACACACCCATACCCACAAGGGCGGTCGTTGGGAGGAGGACTCGCTATGGGTATGGGTGCGGGTTGTCGGACCCTGGCAAACGCTCCCGTTCGAGCGGGGACCCCATCCGACAACACGTACCCATAGCCCTCTCCGACCCCCCTATGGGTGTGGGTGTGTGTTGTTGGTTCGTCAGGAAAGGGCGGCGCTAGAGGCGCCGCCGGTGGGGCCCAGCGCCGGTCCGAGAAATCCGGCCCTCCGAGTTGTTGTGCTGATGTCATTGTTTGTTCCCCTCCTCCTGCTGCTCCCGATCGTGCCTGCTTCTCTGACTACCTACCAGACCACCCCAACCCAACCCGAAGACCCGAATTTCGGGTTGGGGGGGGTAAGGGTTCCACATGTGTTTTTTCGATATTTCCCGACCCCCCCCCCCCTGTAAATCGAGGTTAAATCTGAGCCTTCGGGTTGGGTTGGGGTGGTTTGGTGGGTGGTGATTCTCTGGATTTCGGACATTCGGGGGGCCCCATCACTGCCACGGCTGGGTGCAGGCTGGAAAGCGGGCCAGGGTGTGTGCATGGGAAGGAGGGATCAGAAAGTCAACCGCACTGGCAGTCCGTAGGATGGAGACGGCCGATGGTTTCTCCCCTCGCAGCGAGAGGGTGCTACAACGTTGACAGCTTGCGAAGCGAGAGGGCAGCGGTAGAGGTGAGGATGGAGATCATGAGAGGGGCTACGCACACGGGGTGGAAACCAGGGGAGCGGTCCAGAGAATGTTGGCTTTGAGCAGATTTGAGCAGGGGGCGGGGTCAGGGGGGCGGCGGGGCTTCTGAGAAGCCCAGTCGTCTCAGTAGGCCGTCGCAAGCATCGCCCCACCTGTGTGCGCGCCGCCAAGATGCGGTTAGCGATTGACGAAAACTGCGCAAGAAAAGCTTGCTGCATCACGCCGTGCACCAGAAAGCACGACGCGAGGCTCCCTGTAAGCTGCAGAAGTGCCTTCTGCAGGTCCGAGCACTGCTCGGTCACGACGGACGCCGACCTCTCTCCAAAGGAGATATCGCCCAGCACAAACCAGGCAGGAACTGACACTGGCGCCATTCCAAGCAGCACCCCTTTCTCCAGAATGACAAAGAGCTGTACAAACCCAAGCTTTTGGAGGTCCGCGCGAGCTTCTTGGATCTGCGCTTAACGCGTCGCCCCTCGCGCGCGAGGCGCGCCTGGCGCCGCCGGGGGCGTCCAGCGCGCAAGCGCGGACCCGAGAGATCCCGTGGACCTCCCAAGGCTTATCATGTTCATGCCGCTTTGGGGGCATTCTGCGCTCGAGCAGCTCGTCGTTGTTGACGCTGCACGCCTGCTTCCACAGCGACTCATCGAGCAGCTCGGGGCACTCGCCCTTGCACTCACGCCTCCAGGCCTCGGTGAGCCGCAGTATGGCCGCACCAAGCAGTCCGTACGCAAGACCAGGAACCAGTGGGTCCGCTACGATGACAACTCCACCGAGGAAGGCCAGAACGCGGCATATCAGGACCGTGTTGGTGTACGTGAGGAAGCACGCCAGGAGCACAAGCCAAGGCCTGGGGGAGGATGCGCCGAGAGAGGCAGAGGCAAGCCAGGCGCGCTCGCGCCGTTCTGAGATCATGTCCCTCCCTCCCTTCGCTTCCCATTGCGCTGATTGTTTGTGAATCCGCGGACCCGTGACATAGCCGACCTGGAACTTCAACAGAGGCCCCAAAGTGTTGTGTGCAATCGGGAAACGGGAGCTTCGTACATAGGAGAAGGAGGAGGAGGAGGAGGAAGAGGAGGAGGTGGCGGTAAAGCAGAAGGATGAGCAGAAGAAAAAGGAAGAGGATCAGGAAGGATGAGGAGGACCAGAACCAACAGCATCAGCAAGAACTGGAGTGGAGGGAGCGGGAAGAGCAGGAGAACCAGGGGAAGGCGGGAATCTGAGCAGGAGGAAAAGAGGGAGGATGAGCAAAGAGGAGGAGGACGAGGACGAACAGCAGCAGCGGGAAGTGGAGTGAAGGGGTGGGAGGAGCAGGAGGAACAGGGGAAGGCGGAGGAGGGGAGAGGAGGGGGGCGACAACAATGAGGAAGGACTCGGATCCAGAAAAGTGGCCCAAGCAGGGGCGAGAGCGTCATTCAAGATGAGACCCACGATGCAGCGGAAGCACAATTTTGAAACACCGAAACAATCGGCTTATACAAACAAACAAACGAAGAAACAAACACACACACATGAAAAAAGAAGAAAAAAAAATAAAAATAAAAAAAAAAAAAAAAAAAAAAAAAAAAAAAAAAAAAAAAAAAAAAAAAAAAAAAAAAAAAAAAAAAAAAAAAACGAAACAATAAATGAAGCAAGCAAACAACAAATTAAACCGGGAATGCCACATGTCCCAAGTTCCATCAATATAAAGCAAGACGCTGAGAGTGTGGGCCCCTCCTCCTCCTCCTCCTCCTCCTCCTCCTCCTCCCCCTCCTCCTCCTCCCCCTCCTTCTCCTCCTCCTCCTCCTCCTCCTCCTCCTCCTCCTCCTCCGCCTCCTCCTCCAGTGCAGGGCCTGATGTCCAGGTACTGCAGCCTGCCTCCCGGCACCCTCCTGCGAGCCTCGCGAATGGTCTTGGCGAAGTGCTGCCGCGCGCCCGCCTCCTCGGCGGGCACACCTGCCGCTCGGGCGTGCGCCGGCGAGCACCTCCTGCCGGCGAGGGAGCGACGGCGCGGCGCCGCGCCCGCGCGCAGCGAGAGCGGGAGCGCAGGGCGGGCAGGAGGGGGGCGCCCCTCGCCGCCGCCCGCGGCGGCGGCCGGCCCAGGGGCGGAGGCCGCGGGCCGGCGGCCCCGGGACGCGGGCCCGGGGCTCGCCGGAAGAGAGCGGCCCGGACCCGCCTCCGCCTCCTCCGCCTCCTCCGCCTCCTCCGCCTCCTCCGCCTCGTCCGCTCCTCCTCCTCCTCCTCCTCCTCCTCCTCCTCCTCCTCCTCCGCCGCCTCCTCCGCCTCCTCCGCCGCCTCCTCCTCCTCCTCCGCCTCCTCCGCCTCCTCCGCCTCCTCCTCCTCCTCCTCCGCCGCCTCCTCCGCCTCCTCCTCCGCCTCCTCCTCCTGCTCCGCCTCCTCCTCCGCCTCGATGCTCGAGGGGGAGGGGGCGAGGGATCGGCCCGGAGCGGGACGGCAGGCCGGGTGCGC